CTGTTGCATCGGCGTTCCAGGGTTTCCTCTGGAATTGTGATGGGCCACTTTCGGCGTCGGCGGTAACCCTCGAGGTCGATGGCGGCCCCTTCCTCGAGGGCGGGGCCAGTAGCGGGAGGTGATATTACCCGTTCTTTAGCAGTCGACTCAAAAGCTTGTCAAGGTAAATTGGTGTCTGGGTCGCTACTCGAAGCGAATGTTCGTTTCGGGCTGTCTCGCAGGGGTCCTCTGCGCGGCCGAGGTCCACGGGGGGTCTGACCTTGAGCTGTCGCGACTTGCGCAGGCCGCTGGCAGGGCCCTTCGCTCGCGGGCCATGGACCGCAACTTAACCAGACTGGGCATCTTGGAAGGCGACCTGGATGGATGGGGCCCCGTGGCACTCGTGCTCGGGCGCGCCGAAGAGGTTTGGGCGGCGCACGCGGGCTCCTCCGAGTTTGGGTTCAGTTTCGGGGAGTTGCGCCACGCCAGGAGTTCTGCGTCTCGTTCGCACGTCTCCGGGTGGCACCGGGCGAAGGGGTTGTTGGGGGCCCTCGTGCTTTCCTTTTTCGCAGGATATGATGGGACCACCAAGCGTGCGACGCTTGTGAATGATTCGTGGGAACAGGTTAGTCTCGCGCTGTTCAGCCCTGCTCTCCTCATCGTGCTGCTGTTGCAGGTGTCGCTCCGTGCCCTGGAGCGCTCGGCCTCCGCCTAGGCTGGGGTCGAGATTCCTAGATTGCTAAGGCCTGACGGCCGGTGCCGCCGACCCTGAAGACGACGACGCATGCGAGGATGAGGAGGAGGAGGACGAGGAGGAGGAGGAGGAGGAGAAGGAGGAGGAGGGGGATCAAGGTGGAAGGGAGCAGGAGAAGGCGAAGGAGATGCTCCCCATGTGGGCCGAGGGAGTCGTAGCAGAGACAGACAGGGAGCCTTGTGGCCTGCGGCCCTTCCCGCCACCGTGCTGGGGTTGTGGTTGAGAGGCCTCTTGGATGTTTTCGGGCCTTGGGCCTGTTGAGGGTCTCTTGGGGGCTTCTTCGGGCCCTTGAGGGGCCCTTGGGGCCTTCCGGGGGCTTCTTGGGGCGGGAAGCTCGAAATGTCGGTTCGTCGTCCTCTTCTTGGGCCTGCTTGGGGCCCTCTTGGCGCGTCTTGGTGCTTTTTGGGGCTCCAGGACGCCCAGAGCCGGATGCGTATTTGACCCCCTCGGGGACCCCCCGGGAACTTTAAACGGAGAAGGTTAAAGGCGAGGTATAAATCGAGCATGTACCGCTGCCGTGCCTGGCTCAAGCCGGGCCCGGCCAGATATATGACTGTGCCTCACTGAGGCGCACGACTTGCATCAGAGATCGGAAAATACCTTTTCCATTGACGATGCCCATCCTATCCTTTACTCCAGATCCCATGCTTCGTCTCGCTCTCTTGCTCATGCGATATGAGCCAAAGCCTGGGATATGGCAAGCGCCTAAGGCGGACACATACCTAAGCTTACCAGCTTGTTTTCGACTTGGTAGCGGAGCTGGCTACACTCTCGTGTGGCTGGCTCTCGCTCTGATTCCTGTAATCCACGGCACAACTTGGTGGACTACTACTACGGTGGAATACCATGTTGCGCCGGCTCTGCGAGGAGCGGAGCCAGTCCGCGATCGAGCTAGCGGGGCAACCCGCGAACTCGAGACGCTCTCTCCTACTTCACTGCGCTACTTCACTCCCGACTTCCACCAGATGCCAATCGGCAACTCGATCGAGAACGTGGTCACCCTGCGGGGCTACCCGCAGCGGGGCCACCTGCATCCCGTGCCAGTCAGGCGCCTCACGGCTACTACGCCAGAGCCTGACAAACCACAGCCTAAACCAATCACCGAAGCCGAAATGCACATGCATTGGATCAAGATAACTATATTCGGCATTCTGTGGGTAATAATGGGATGTGCTGTGGGATACATGCGGCAGGGGATGGACGACACGCGTACTACTGGCCCTTCATGGGACCCTGCCGGTACTACGCCTTTTCGCGAATACGTTCGCGAAGTACATGCATGGTTAAACGTAACGAGTGGCAATATGACACCACCACAACAAGCTGCAGCACTACAACGAGGCCTTCAAGGTCTGGCTCGTCGTATCGCCATGCAGGTCCCCTCCCAGATCATCAATTATGGTGTAACTGTCAATGGACAGCCAACGGATGCAGTAACATATATACTGTACTTACTGAGCACCAAATTTGAAAATCTGGAAGATGAGCGCCAGCTCAACTCTGGCACTGCCCTTATCGACTTCCGCGTCGAAAGGGGCGAGCGAATCGAC